GGCCGGTGATCCTGCGGTGTGCGTGCTCTGTGTAAATCTGTCCTCCAGCAGGGGCGCGGCTGCAACATTAAATCATTTCTTTAACCCAGCCCTCCCCCTGTGTCCTGTCCTTCCTGGTGTTCCTCCCTGCTCCCTCCCAGCTGCTGCTGCAGGGTGATCACTACTCATGGCGAGAGTGACCCAGGCCAGCTGCTGCAGGGTGATCTCTCTCTCTCTCCCCTCATGCCGAGATTGACCCAGGCCAGCTGCTGCTGCAGGGTGATCACTCTCTCTCCCCTCATGCCAAGAGTGACGCAGGCCAGCTGTTGCTGCAGGGTGATCTCTCTCTCCTCGTGCCGAGAGTCACCCAGGCCAGCTGTTGCAGGGTGATCTCTCTCCTCACGCCAAGAGTGACCCAGGCCAGCTGCTGCAGGGTGATCTCACTCCTCACGGCGAGAGTGGCCCAGGCCAGTTGCTGCAGGGTGATCTCACTCCTCACGGCGAGAGTGACCCAGGCCCGCTGCTGCAGGGTGATCTCACTCCTCACGGCGAGAGTGACCCAGGCCCACTGCTGCAGGGTGATCTCTCTCCTCACGCCAAGAGTGACCCAGGCCCACTGCTGCAGGGTGATCTCCAGAGTGCCTCAGTTGCTAAGCAGGAAGGCTGTGGGGGCCGAGAGCTCGGGGGCCTCTGGACTCAGTTCCCTGAGGGAGAGTGGGGCTGGAGACCAGAGTTAAAGGGAGTTGGGGGGATGATGGGTGGGGTTGTGCATTTCATACTAACTGTATTTGATGAGACAACTGAGGTAAGCATGTGTGTGTCCCACAATCCCCTCGGTGGGGACAGGACAGGTATGTTTCCCAGTCTGGTCTCACAGGTTCCAGGGGCAGTAGGAAGTGCATCTCTCTCTATTTCTCCCCGCTGGCAGTGGGAGCACTGCCTGTCCTCTATGGCCAGGCCAAGACCAGGGCGATTGGAACTGACTGGAAACTGAGATCAGCTGGCCATTACACGTCTCTTTGCCTCCTTCTAATGGCCACCGATAGAAGTACAGCTGGAGAAGTAGCACTGTGGACACTGTTCAGTTGAGCCTGTTGCAGAATGTCTGGAGAAGAATGCTCACACACCCACACTGAAGAATAGTGTTTTTCTTGGAGAGGCTGGGAGTGCGCACACACACACTGCAGCCTGCAGCACGACTACCTGCACTCCTTTAAGTAAGGGATTTGGGGGTTTCTAGGGCCTCAGTCAGTGTACTGAAGCTGCAGAACGGTCAACAATATTGGGGATAGGTGGTGAAAAATGCACAATGCAAGTTGGGGAAAGTCATGTTCTATCAATGGGACAATCAGACAATGTTTTGGCAAGAGCTCTCTTACAATACAGTGTAGTCTCAATCACCAAATTAAAAAAATATATATTTTTCTGCTCTGGAATCGAAAGTTTAGTCAGTCTCGGACAGGACACAAGCATGCAAAGGTACTGAGCACCCGGGGAGGGGGACAGCTTCAGGCCCAGCTGTAAAAGGACAAGTGGAAACTAAGAATGAACTGACTCATCCCTCAAAACCTCTTTACACAGAGGGTTGTAGGTGTGTGAAACAGGGATCCAGCCACACTGTTGAAGCCCAGGCTGTGGGCTGGTTAAAGGACTGGAGCAGATCCTTTGGACATGGGGATGGCATCTACTGCCTGCAACCTCCCTCCCCCACCCACCTGCAGCCCCTGTGGGAGAGATACAGCAGACCAGGAGGGGAGGGGGAGAAACTACCACAGCAGGTTAATTAAGGGGAAATTCCAGGAGATTGTGTAGAGAGTGGAGTTCATCCAGGACAACCGGTTTAACACTGCTGACAAACAACTCTCATCTGGAGGACATTACCTCCTACAGTACAGTGTCCCTGTGCACCCTACTGCAGTCTTGATTGTCTCTGGATGCTCCATTACTCAGGCAACAATCTGTCCAGGACACCATTTCTAAGTGAACTAATGGAAGCCTTGAGATGAATGGACAGTCCTATTGTATCTGTTTAACCCCTATCTACTCACCCTTCCAGGGTCTGCTTGTTGCAGGTATTACACAAGAGAGTGTGGCGGCCCCAGCTTTCCAGCACTCTCCCCCCTGCTGTCCAGGCTGTTTCAACAGACTGCAGCAGTCGAAGCTCCTCCTCCAGAGGGAGCCCTGACCGATGGAGAACAGTTACTCACCCTTCAAGTTTCTCCTCTCCATCTGGCTCTAGGAGTCAAGATTCCCTCTCCTTCAAGAGAGCGTACAAATGAGAGGACCCAGTCAACCCCTCTTCTAGTTACTGCAGCAGTTGAAACTGCAGTAATGGTCACTAATGGTCAACTGAGTCCAGGATCTCCACCCACTGTTTCTTGAAAGAAACCAGGATATCAGCTTCAACAGCATAGCTGGGCAGTTTGTTCCACACCCCCACCTCTCTTTGGGTAAAGAAGTGACTCCTGTCATTCTTTCCTGTAGTTCCCCCTTGTGGTCTCTGGGCACTATACATGTTTCTAACCTCCACAACACGCCCACTTATACTTTGGCAGACCGTGTATCTGCCCACTACCGCAGGAAGACACCCCTGGTCAGCATGACTAGTCACTTTATTGATAAATGCCACTACAGAGGAAAACAAAATCAGAAGAGAAAAACATTCTCGCTCAGATCTTTACCTCAGAGAAAGAAAAAATAACCATAACAGCAATAGTAAGAACAGATTATTAACAGATCACGACGATCAGTTTTTCCACCAGCTGCATGATGGTATGGGCGAGGCGAGGGGCTGTGATCAGGCAGGTGGCGGGGAAAAGGGCTGGGTTGTGTGTCCCGTGGGAAGAAAGAGCACCCCTCCCACATCACAATCGGCCAGTACAGAGCCACATCCACCCCTGACCCCCCCACAGACACACTGCTGCCTGCATGCCGGGAGGGAGCAACCAGAATAAACAACATAATCTGCTCTGGGAAGAAGACCAACCCCACGCCTGTGCAGAGAGAGAGAGGAGGCACAGCTGTACAAACCAGACACGGGCTCAGGTATGTTCGCACTGATCGCCTGCTCGTTGTGGCCCGGTGCCTCTGTCACTGTGATCCTCCTGACCACTTCAAAGCCATCCCAGCTGACCTCGACCTCTGAGGACAACAAGCCAGTGGTCAGCAGATTGGGAAAAGTGAGGAGACGGGGCTTCATCCGATCGCACTCGGCAGGGGCCTGGAGAGAGTGGGAGACCCGCAAGTGACCAACCCCAGAGCCTGGCAAGCAAACGAGCAGCAGTAACCTTCCTCGTCTCGCCAGCACTGCGGATCTCCACTTCTGCACCAGAGAGCGTAGCGGCACCCAGCACAGCACCACACAAGCCTGCACTACCGGGACCTCAGGCATAACACGAACGCTGTTCCCACCCAATGTCACCTCGTGCGCCTGCTCTGTCCAGTGTGAGCAGGGGAGACCTGCTTGCTGCCCCAGCGTACCTCCGCCACAGCGTCCTGAAAGGGACAGGTGCCACCTGCCACCACGGGCACCAGGCCCTCCTCTGTACAGCACTCCTGGGGTGCCCCTGAGCCAGGGAGGCCACCTGATTCACACAGGGACTAAGCAGAACGAAGCAAAGGGGAACCAAAGGGACAAGGGAGGAAGATTTGGACAAGATGGGGAC